GAAGGAAAACGCAAAGGATGATTCAAAGATACGGAGCGGTTTCCTTCTCACACCAAGCCCAAAATCTCTCCGCCGTCCCGGTCCCTCCGTCACGCTTCGACACCAAGGCCTTTTGAAGATGACAAGGGATAGGGCCGAACCTCCCCCAGGGAATAATATACGCTCCGTTTTTCTCTTCTGTAACTTCCGGAGACAGAGCCGCAAAGAGCTCACTGTATGCTCCGTATCGGGGACCTTTGAATATCCAGCCCTGCGTATTGTCAGCCAGGAGTTGAGGTCCTTGCGGGAAAATGAAAACATACCATAACCGTTGACTGAATAGCAGAATTATGTCTCTGTAACTCAGTCCTCATGAGGCCGGGATGCACGCTCTGTGTCTCATTAGCATATATACCATAGAAGTTAATGATAAGGGCCAACCGGACCAAACTAAGAATGCCATCCCCACCATACCGCTTCGCCATCTCCTTAGCAATAAACATATTCCCCACTTTACTTTCCATATAGTTCTGCATCGCATCAGATAGAACCTTCGGAGAATCACTTTCATCATCGAAAATAATTCCACCGGTTGCCGCGAACGAGGCTAACATGGATGATAGCCACACTACGCGCACGCTACCCGCAGGAGCCGTGGCCGCGGTGCGCTGAATAAGGGGAAGAAGGAGTTTATTGAAGAGGAAGGGCCCGAGACAGTTTGTTCCCATTTCAAGATCATGGCCCTATATCACATAACTATCAGCTTTTGATGTCTTTCTCATCAGTTTGCTGTTATTGCTATGGGGCAAATACAGTAATGGTCTTACTGCCCGCCGGGGGAGTCATGACCCCGGCATTGTGAATCAGTATATCAAGACGGTCTTCCTGTTCCAGGAACCTATTGGCGCTTTCTTTGATGCTGGCTAGGTCGGACAGATCTAGTTGTAGGAAGGAGAGGCGACCACGGCTATGTGCTCCCTCCGCGGAGGTCTGAATCTCATTGATAGCCGTGCGGGCCTTGTCGACAGATCGGGCTGCGATGTAGACAGTGGCGTTCTTGGAATATAGGATAGATGCTGTATTGAAGCCTACTCCAGAGGTTGCGCCGGTGACGATAATTACTTTTCCCGTTAGGTCGGGCATGTCTTTCTCGACAAAAGTAGGGTTTGGGGGAAAGATCTGGCCGAGGGCGGGTGCCATTGTGTGCGTGTCTGTGGGTGTATGTCCGAGTATGATGGTATATTATCTTGGAAAACGATAGGAAATCTTGGATGATTCAAAATTGGTACTGACACGCATACCTGGATTATACTGGTGGATTTATAGTAGGTGAAGCCCTCCGGACCCTCACTCCGGAGCCACAATTCGGGAGGGCGGGACCATCTCCGGCGCTAGCATCTCCGGCCCGGCGCGCCAAGCCCGGGCGATCTTGGAGTGCCGTTGAGCCAGATACACTGAATGTCTCTCGGTGGACAAGCCTGTATCATGGCCTAGCTCAGATGGTTCCAACAGACTAACTATTTCTGGGACTGGGTATCCAAGTCAAGAGTGTGTATGCTATGGAGAATTTAGAGACAATACAATAAAGTGTGCAACATATAGAAAACCCTGCAGGCTCGTATTGAGACATCTTGCTGAGTAAGCCGCGGCGGTGAACCCCGCGAGAGACGCCCAACATCAATATCACATCAATATCCCCATCCATTCAACGCACCCTGTTACAAGACCAATTCTTTGTATCAGGTACAATGGCATCTAAACCCCCCGTTCGGACGCCTATATCCTGCACATTTTGTCGTCAGAAAAAGTAAGGCATACCGTTGTGGTAGTTCGCTTGAATGACTGAATAACCCCCTGAAGGTTAAGATGTGACCGTCTCCAGCCTTGTAGTAGCTGTACCAAGCGTGGGTTAGGATGCGTATATGCTCACCCTCCCTCAGCAGCTCCGCGGAGGAATGGACCAGCTCAGCCCCGGCAGTTGACCCAACGGATCCGCCAACTGGAGGATCTAGTGGTAGCATTGCAAAAGGGCGAAACCCCCCAAACGGTAGAGAACCCAGTTCACCTGGCGCATAAGAGCAATGATCTCCCGGCTGCTAGCCCAGAGACAGTGGCCAACTCCTTTGGTAGCCTGCGGGTCGATCAGACAGGGATGACTTATGTCTCAGGCGCTCATTGGACCGCACTGCAAGACAGTGTACGTGGGAACCTTCCTTTTGCAGTCATCACAAACTCCACTAGGACATTGTACTAACATGACCCGATGATCTGGCTGGCAGATTGCTGAGCTCAAAGAGTGCGTCGAGTTAGGGCCATCATATCTGCCTTTCCGGTGTGATAACGGGTCCGCCCTTCTCCGAGGGGTGTCTCCGCCCGGCGGGATAGCGGAGGTCCTGAGCCACCTCCCGCCAAGACCGACCGTAGATCTGCTGGTGTCACGATTTTTCAGCTCTATGGAGCCGGGTGTTCGTATGTATACCTCCTTTGAAGGAATATTGGTCGAGTGCTCTGACGCAGTTGTCCAGTTGTCCTGCATGCCCCGACATTCCAGAAAGAAGTAGGGAACCCATTCACGTGATATGTGTACGTATGCTGACGTTCACAGTATGACCAATTCTGGACTCATCCACAAGATGTCAATCTGGCATGGTTGAGTATTCTCTTCAGTATCATGTGTCTGGCAATCCACCATCACCAGCTCACTGAGGGCCACAGACCAGACCCGATCGGTGACACCCACGGGCTGTGTGATGATTTTCGGCAACAAGCTGCCTATTGCCTCATTGATAACAAGTACACAGCTCCGACAAAATATACCATAGAGGCTCTAATGTTCTATGCGCAAACGGAGTACTTTCGGGGCGAAGAGTTTCATCACGAGGTCTGGTTGTTAATGGGAATGATCAACCGCCTGGCCATGCGGGCTGGCCTTCATCGGGACGGTTCACGCTATCCAGAGCTCTCTTTCTTTGCAGCCGAAATGCGGCGACGCATATGGACACTCATGTCCCAGCTGGATGCACTCATTTCGTTTCAGTTGGGTCTGCCCCGAATGATCTATGACGGGTTAGCAGATACACAACCGCCACACAACTTGCTAGACGAGGACTTCTCTGAGGACTCGACAAGCTTGCCGCCAGTCCGTCCTGACACAGCATTTACCCCGGTGACTTATTTGATTGCGAAAAGTCGACTCTCCAGGGTATTTGGTCTCGTGATTGACCATGCTGCATCCACCGCGCCTATCCCGTCCGCACTCATGTATCAACTCGACAAGCAGCTGAATGAGTCTTACGCCGCAGTCCCAGTATGTCTCCAGTTTCGCAGCGTATCGGAGTCTGTTACGGCCTCTCCACGTCTCGTCATGCTGCGCTATAACCTGCAAATTCTGTATCAGAAGACGCGGTGCATCCTACATCGCAAGTCTCTCTGCGAGGGCCGCTCGGATGTTCGGTATGCGGAGTCTCGAAGTATCTGTCTCGACGCGGCAGTGAGTCTTCTGCAGCATCAAGCGACTATTGATGGTCAGGTTCAAGCAGGAGGTGTGCTAGCGCAATGTCGCTGGTTCGTGACTTCCTTGACCACAAATGATTTCATGCTGGCGGCGATGGTGGTATGCCTGGAGCTCCACAACCTCGAGCAGGAAGGTGCACAAGGCGGGCAGTCTGGAACGCTGAGAAAGGACGATCTGCTTCTTGCCCTCCAAACTTCACAGCGGATCTGGTCACAATATAAGGATGAGTCAGCGGAGGCCTGGCAAGCCTGGCAGTCAACTAGTATCATGCTGAGGAAGCTGAATGCCCCTGTGCTTTGCAGTGTATCCCCATCAGATAGCAGCAACGGTGGCGGGAATATCAATGGCCACAGCACCACTTCCAGTAAGGTCATTATTTATTTCCTTCCTGGCCCTCTCTGACACCTGTATAGCGGAGACCGAGACAGAGAGATTCGATCCCATGGTAGGAATTACCCTTAGTTCTCAAATGGAGGGGTCAATATCTGCGGCAGAGCCCAAGATGCTATCGTCGTCCGAGCCCGAATTCGATCTATCGCGCCTGCCAAGTGAGCTTGTGAATCTCTGGGACTTTTCCGGTGACATGAGTTGGGTAAGTAGACTGGTATCACAAGGGTTCTTTTGTTCGAATCAGAGAATACTAACTGCATGTGCTGATATAGCTTGCCATTTGAATGAAAATTTATACAGTGGGAGTCCATGACCCACTAGCTTTGCTTCAATGAACATGAATCGTTACTAATCCGTCTCAATCAATTCCGTATGCTTGTGAAGGGGAAGCAAGATGCCACGAGAACCGTTGAATAGCGGGGTATATTGGGAAGTGTGATGATTCTGCGTTGTGGGCTTCTAGGCTAGGCCTCAGCTGCAATGTTACACCTGCTCAAACGAAGGTGGCAAAGCATGTCCGTTGATTGAAGGATAGCTGGACAGCCCTAAACTAGCGCAAGTACGCTCACGTGATAGGCAGGGCCACCTCGCCGGGTTTCACAGACCAGGGCAGCCTGTGCACTCACACACATCTGCCCCTCTCTATTCCTTGTTCTTCTACATTTCTTCCATGATGGAGTCGCTTATACAGGAGCGTCTGGATTCCTTATATACTCTTTGTCATAAAGGGTATGTGTTCCTAAGAAATGCTATCTCCCAAAAGGATACAGCACTGGCACGGCTTCTTGAGAATGAGCGGTCGAGATTTCATGCATGGGGGAAAAGCGCGAGGATATACCTGGCGCCCCAGGCTCCGTTACAGACCGGTAATCTGGAGTACCGCGGGATCTGGCGATCGATATTGAAGCTCTTGAAACAAGTGGCTCTGGGGCTGGAAAACCAGATGCAAATTACTCCAGAGCACAAGCCCTTGAGAGAAATTGTTCTCTCGCCAGGTGCCGCCATGCATATGTTCGTATCCCCCACTTTCCGGGTCACTAAAAGTTGCTGGACGCGACACAAGCAATCAGAGCTACGAGACCTGGTTTCAGAACTGGCAGTGTACAACGAAGATCTCATGAGTCTGCTGCGACGTAACGAGGATATGGAAAGTGCTCAGAAGCTCATCTTATGTGTTCTCGATACCGCAACCCATACGTTTAAACCGGGAAACCCTAAGGCTGCGAGTATAATCGAGCTGCGTGAGATAAACGAACGCAATATCTGCGAAGAAACGTTGAATTCCGAGACAGGCTCTATCGGAAATTCTATAGCCTCTTCATCATCGACCCCTCCGCCCGCGGCAGTTGAGGATAGTTTGGAGATCCCCATTCTTGTTTTCAAGGCTTTGAGACGCCAAGATCCCCCGAGTGGTTATTGATTGTACATCGCCTGAGAGCAACATTGCAAAGTCTCCACTTACCCGGTATCGTTATGTTTACAATTCAGAGAAGTCCTGGAGTGAAGAACTCGTCCTCGTAGAATGGCGGTTGCGCAACCACAGTCTCCGGAATACATTTGACGAAGAAGCCCAAGCGAAGCGATACAGTTACTTTGTTCGACTTCTACAAAGGACCTCTAGGATTGACCCAGGACTCTGCATGCTACCTTGTTTGGGCTATAGTTTGGCGACAGGACAGCTGCCTGATGGAAAAAAGTGCCCTATTGTGGGATATGTTTTCAAATTCCCAAAACACGCCAATAGTACGGCCCGACTATTGACACTCGATGACAAGATCGCGTCCTGCCCCGGAATCCTCGCTTCACCAAGTCCCAACTTAGAGAGCCGTTTTCGTCTTTCACAAAAACTCACCCTTGCACTGTTACAGCTGCACATTGCTGGGTGGAAGCACAGGCAGCTCTCCAGTAGCAACATTATCTTTTTCCGGAATGAGGGAGATCAATGGGACGACCTGAGCAAACCGTACATTAGCGCCTGGCAGTGCCTTTCGGACGACTATAGAATGCAGGGCGACAATACGGACATTGAGATGAAGTCAATTCGATTTTGGAAAGGCGAAGATCTGAAAAGTCTTGCAGTTATATTGATGCAGATTGGACTTTGGGAATATCCTTACAACGCATACCACAGACTTTCGAACTCAAATTTACCCGGTGTGTCCATGGACTACCGCGGTCCTTTCTCACTACAACATGTACAGTCTCTTTATAGAGTCCTTGGGGCGCGACTTAGAGCGAAAATGGGCAGCCATTATGCCAAGTCTGTGTAGGAGTGCTCACAGGGCCCATATCTTGCATCGTCAACTGCCAGCCTTGAGGAGCATCTTTTCATTGAAGTGATGCAGGGTTTATACAAATCTGTAAATAACTAGGACCTGATTCTTCGTGGTCTTTCTTGCTTTATACTAGAATATCATCAAAAATACATACTTATTTCTACCACGCATTGATCATCCGTGAGAGCTTCGCGTCAGTATACTTCCAGACTCAATCGCCTGGCTAGGGAGTAAATATACAATAGTTCCATAGGTTCTCTTAGAAGGGCCTGAAAACTATGTTGACATCAGGTGGATCTGAATGTGTGGAGCCAAGGCTCAACAACGGGTATGCCCAGCGCCATTACCATGGAATATTCCCAACTAGACTGATGAGTAGTGCACGTTGGTATTGTGTAGGTCGTGTGCTGCTTTCATCACACTTTAACCAGTTGGCATGATCGTCATCAATTACAATTCCATTCCTTCATTTCGATGCTATCTAGCTGTGTTCAACTACGTGAGACTGCAATTAGAGGCGCTCTTTTGAATATATATTGTTGTTACTCGTTGATATATGAAATCAAAAGCACCTATTTACTTTAACCTTGCCGGCAGTAATCCCGCAGCATTGTTAATTGACTTCTACGCCGCATTTTCCTGTGTGGGTGTGAACTCCACTACACTCTCTAGGTGCGCCGGCGTAGCGGCTTTTGATTTTTGTCTAGGTAATATCCGTTCATTCACATGACCGGTAGCCGTCAAAAGCTTGACATCGATTCTCACAGGCTCAGAGGGATTCTGCAGGATGTAGAAGATAAGTGTGAGTATTGCCGACATGGGGTAGAAGGGTAATGCCCTATCATGGATTTAGTTGCAAGTTACGTTACGTATGTGGTTGGCGAGATACGCTATATTTATACTGGAGAAATCAAGAATCATATTGAGGAGGACTTGAGCCTGCAATTAGTTTTGCTTGCCAGTCCAAGTGCTCGGGACATTGATGTTGGCCCTTTAGCTTTAAGCAAGACTTGGTAAGCCCAGAATATCCCACCTCATGATCAGAGTCAGGGTCTAACCGAACATGATCGCCGGATTGACTCGGCGATGGGCACGCTTTGAAGATTGACTCCTGACCAGAAACGCCATTTAACGGCACTGTATATGCCTTTAGCAATATACATAAATAATATGATCGAACGCAATGGATTAACTCAACCTATGCGCATTTTCGCAACGTCCAGCGCACTCCTTGAGCCTGTTCGGAGCTTAACTCGGAAGCTTATGAAATCATGGATCCGCTGAGTCATTTGCAGATGTCATTGAGGATAGTTAGTTGATTGGCTGATTTGCCGGATACTCCTTACCAGACATATATATATCCGCTGACTAACTAAACTCCGCTCAGGGTCCCAAATCGAGAGACAATCTTTAAAGCCAAGAAGGCCCAAATATAACCAGTACCAGTTGGGATGGGCTTTAAAGCCCCCTTAACTCCTTATAATCAAAAGGGGCAAAGAGTCCGATCATGCAGTTTGGATTCTAGAAGATGCTGAATGCGAATATGGACACAGCTCAAGGCTATAAAGCGCGCACCGCCGCGTGGGCAGCTCGTCTTCTCGATTCAGATGATCTCCATATAAGCGACGCTCTTTACCTTGTATGTCTTCATTCATCGTCGGAACTAACTTCCTGTGTTTGCAAGTGATTCAAGTTCCCCCACATATTAGGAAGCAGTACAATGCAGTTTCCAAAACAGATACTAGGTCCCCTAGCAGGGGCTTTCGTCTCCCTCCAGGTCCTATTCCTCGCCAACCTGTGCTATCTGTATGGCACTGCATTTCGACACGGCACGCGGTTCAGTGCAATGAAAGTTCTTTATGTCGACTTTGACCAGGGCATCATCGGCAAATCCGTTCTGAAAGCCTACGACCTTGTTAGAAGCCCAGCCTTTCCCACCATCGAACAACATTCCACAGAAGAATATCCTACCGAGGACTCCTTGAAGCGCGCAGTATGCAAAGAAGGGTACTGGGGAGCTATATATGCCAAAACCAATGCTTCTTTGCGTCTATCAACGGCCATCGCCTCCCCAGCTGCAGCAGAAAACTACAATAATGCCGACGCCTTAGGATACGTCTGGAACGGCGCCAAATATGCTGCCTATGCGCAGACAGTCCACGCAAGCCTTACCGAACTGGTCCAGGTAACCGGTAATGTCTACAGCCAAGCGAACGAAACATCCATTTTTGCCACAGCCAACGTCTCCAACCCTTCAATTGCATCAACCCTTCTACAACCTATAGCCAGCACGGAAACCGACCTTCTCCCCACCGACCAGGGAACTCGCTTCTACTACAATACCGTATCGATGGTTATGCCGATCATTCAACAATTCTTCTTCCTCATGGCTTTCAACGGAATTTCAATGAATTTCAATCTTTTCGCTGTCTCACTCACTCAGCTGGTTAGCTTCCGTGCCCTTGTCGCTTTCGTGTACACGTTCATCAGTGCTCTCGCAATGTCCGGATATATATGGGTCTTTCGCGAAGGGTGGGACGTCCATTCCTCGCAGTTTGGATTGACTTGGATGACTATCTGGCTTGCAATGCAAGTTCATTACTTGCTCCTTGAGTTTGTCACCACGTTTGTGCCGATGCAGTTCATTCCCTTCGCTATCTTGACTTGGATTATCCTGAATGTCTCGAGCACGCTTAGCCCCTTTGAGCTATCGCCGGGTTTCTATCGCTGGGGATATGCTCTGCCTGGTAGGGAGCTCAATGATACGCTCCTTCAGGTCTGGACGCGAGGATGTAACCCTTACTTGGGAAGAAGCTTGCCTATACTCTGGTCTTGGTGGATTGTGGGTGTTGTGGGTTTTTCGGTTGCTCTGAGGTATCGTCATCAGACAGCGATGAAGGCTGGAGTTCAGATTATAGAGGATGAAAAGTCCGAGGGGCCCAGGGCGTGACTGGTATAACCTTTGAAATCGTTGGCGTTGAAATCATGTGTATTCATTTAATTTTGTAGTTGACTCAATAAGAATATCAATCCTCTAGTAATAAGCACATCACAGGAAAGCTATCCGATACACATGTATTCACAGTTTACTTCCCATTCCAAAGTCTCGATCTACTGCATCTCGCTGGTCTGCGGCTGGCAAGCTAGGGACCGGCAGATTCAACTCGATCGCAATTGCCTTTGCAGCCCAGAAGCCCGTCACAAAGGCAAGAGCCAAGCCGCCCGCATATCCGAGGTTACTGAACCCTCCACCATCAACCCCAGCAACTAACAGCCCTGGGATGGGATTTCCATCGGTCGTCAACGCGCGGCCCCTAGGGTCGGTTCTAATGCCACCGTACGTGAATGTAATTCTGCATGATCAGTCATATGCACATTTAGATAGAAGAAGGAATACGTACGATGGCTGCACTTCCATACAAAAGAAGGGTCCGTCGCCCTCTACTAAGGGGACTGGAGGTTTTCCGCCTGCCCCGACAGGGGCATCCAACGCCACAGTCGAGTTGCCTAGCCGGATGACCTGATCATACTGTTCAATTGTCCTTCGAGCCTGTGTCTCGTTCACTCCCCATTCTTTGAGTATGTCGACCAGCCCGTTGATGCTCGGCGCACTACCGACACGGCAGCCGTGTTCCTGAGCTTTGGCTAGACGATCGATCTCACCCGCGTTGGGGAACGGTGCGGATATGCAGTGCTGGGTCCGAGTGCGATCGCTGCGTTGTCAGGCATATACTTCGAGGAACATCAAGGTAAACATACTTGAAGAGAAGAAATCCTCGCCGTTTCTCTTGCTTCGCGAGATACTGATTGATAATCTCATCGCCGGTCGTCTCATCCGCGAATCTCCGGCCGTTCTCGTTGATAAGCAGGCAATGTTTGCTTTCTAGGTGATGATTAGTACCATGTATGGCGATATTTTATGTCACTTACGATATTGTGCCAACGGCAAATAGTCCCGTGGGTCGACCTTCTCGGCCTGCAGAGGCGCCGCGAGTAAATGACCATAGAAGGTACTCATCCCACGACTGCTACCTGCACCTACTTGTGTTCCTAGAATCAAACCGTCTCCCACCGATCCCTTGTTGGATCGCACAAACATGTCGTCTGCGTGTTGGCCCATATGCATAGACAGTAGCCTAGGGTTACCTTGAAATCCCCCAGTGGCTAGGACAACCCGCTTCGCTCGAACTTCGTAGTGTGTACCATCCGCGCGACGAATAACCGCCCCGATAACGCGCGATCCAGGAACTCCCGGAACTTCCTGCAGGAGCTTCACCACCGCGGTATTGGTAAAAATTTGTGAGCCGGTATTGCTATCTCTGATGCGCTGCTGATGATATGCATGGAGATGAGGGATATTGATTGGGAAACCGATGCCTGTACCTCATGTCAATTACTTTTCGCTGCGACGAGAAGAATGACATACCGATTGTCATAATCCCATCAAATCTCTGCGCCACTGGGACACCATTTTCACGCATCCATTGTACGGCCGGGAGGTAGTCCTGCATCCAGGCGGCTTGGAGATCGGGATTTCCCCATGGTACCCATGAGCGCAGACTTGAGTATGACTTGGGGCCCCAACTGCACCAAAATAATAAGTACGTGTTCCCTATAATTGATAGGTGCTAGCTTCAACATACAACATCCCTGCGGAGTAATTGGATGACCCGCCCACGGTGGACTGTTTCTCTACAACGAGAACTTTAGCCCCGGAGGACGCGGCGAAAGAGGCACAGGCAAGGCCTGACATGCCCCCGCCACAGATAAGGGCATCAACGGTAATTGTTTGCATTTTGTGTCAATCAAGCTATGAGAAAGAGGTATGTGTGCAGTGATGGCTGAAGACGAGCGCCGGCTATATAACCACCCTCCGGTGGCTAAATTAAGTGGCCGGAGGACCCACCCGGGTATCCTGTCCTGAACGAGCATGACAAGACCGGGTTATAGGGGAAGGCCATTCGGTCAAGCCGATAGCAAATCAAGATATACGAATCCCTACCAGCTTCTTTCATTCCATGCCCATACTGAATGGAAAGTGGCGACACCGGCCATGATAGGGTTGTCCGGATACCGTGATTCCCCGCATTTCTCCAGGATTTCTCGGCAATTCGGGTAATTTTCCTGCGACTACCTCGAAGCTCTCATCCCATGATTCTTCAACTATGGCCCCAAGCACTCGTTCAAGTCAAGCTAGGAGAGCCTCCAGAACCTCTGCAGCTGCATGCGAAGTATGTCGTCACCTGAAGATGCGCTGTATCCGGCCCGATCTATCGGAGCCATGCGACCGCTGTCGACGCAACAATCGTCGCTGCAACATCCCCCCTCCCCGTCCTTTGGGTCGTAGGCCTGGTGCTGTTGGTCGCTATAATGGGTTCGAAAAGTCTTATCGAAAGATGCAAGCTCAGCTCAAGAAAGCACCGGTATCAGCTGATGAGGTACAACAGGTGCTGAATACCACGGGCCAAGAGGAATTACTTCAAGTCATCGTGGCGAAGCTACAGCATGGTAGCGACAGTAACAGGCCAGTGCCAACCATAGACGGTGCAGTGAGAAGCTACCATGATGGCTTACCAACTCCAAAAGAGCCAGTTAGCAATCCACTCGCACTCCTGGCGGACGCATCTAGCGCAGCACAGCCATTGACGCCATCGCTGGATCTACCAAGTACTACAAGTGGAGGCCGGGTGCTCCTCCAGCACTCAGTCTATGCGTCCCTAGGTCTGCAGCTGGGTCGAGACACATTGGAAGAGGGCCTTAGTGCCATTTATGATCCCACGCCACCCATCCACTCCCATTCAAACTATTTTCGACCTCCTGATGCGGATTCACCTCGAGATGTCGGTCCAGACCTGGATCCTATCGAACTGGGGCTATTATCGTTAGAGAATGCGCATAGTTTGTTTTCAATGTATGTACACCACTTCCTGACAGCTCTCTTGTTAATGGACTACTAGCTATTTCATCCGCTTACACCCCATCAACGGCATTCTGGACCCAGTTCTCCACACCGTCGACTATGTGCGCTCCCGCTCCGCCCTCCTCTTCACATGGATCCTGGCCATTACAGCTCAATTCGATCACCAGTCTGCATCGTGCGCCAAGCGCCTGCGCCTTCACGGCGAGACGCTCTCGCGACATGTCCACACATCTGGGTTCAAGTCAGTTGAAATTGTTCAGGGATACTACATTTCGCTCCTTTCTGCTACCCCTGCCCCAACCTTGTCCGAGGAACGCTCCTGGCTCTACACGTCCTACGCCGTGGCCATCGCCACTGAGCTAGGCTTAGACCAGGTTAAGCCTTACTATACTCCTGCCACCGACTCGATCATGTCCCAGCGACAGGCGCGTAATAACGAACGCACCTGGCTGCGCATCCTATTGTGGGAACGCGCTACCAGCGCCGCTTATGGGCGAGCAACTGCCTTTCCCGAGTCACCCCTTACCCGGAATATTGAGAAATGGTGGCTGCACCCTCTTGCCGATTCCACCGACAAGGACACATGTGCCTTTATCCTCCTCCGTCAACATCTAGCAGGCCTTCATCATATCCTGCACCAGCAAGCCTCTTTCACCCACGACAACCCCCACTGGGTCCGCGATCTCGTGGACTCCACCCTAGACCCGTGGCGAATTACCTGGCTTCCTGGGTGTACTTCAAAAGCCGTCACCCCCTCCCTCAACATATCCATAGCCTTCCTCACATACGTATATCTCCATAACCGTCTCTGGATGCTCTCTTTCGCCCTGAATACCTCAACCATCCACTCCCACGCCCTCCAAGAAGACTGCTTTACAGCCGCGATTCAATGTTGTACCCTCGCCGTCCACGATCTCCAATCGATTGGTGAACCTCTGTACTGTCTTCTCTCCCCATCTTGGGCGATGGTTGCCTACGCCGCTGCTCTCGCCCTCAGACTCTTCCCCGCTTTGCATGATACCAATTCCGGCGACGAGTGCGAGTTGCTAGGGTTGCTAGGGCAAGTAGCCCTGCAGCTAGAGAAGGCTGGAAGCACCCCGTCTCATAGAATTGGAATCGCGGCCGTGCTGGGGAGGCATTTGCTCAGTGTCTTGCGGGCGAAGGTTGGGACAGGGATGGGACCTAGAGATGTTGCGGATAGCGGGCTACACTTTTCATCTGAATCGGGGCTGGTGGGGAGCAGCTGCGATCCGGTCCTGGGATCTGTTGCGATGGGACTGGATGAAGGGTTTGCGGATGTGTTTCGGGAGGTGTTCGGGCCGGGGTGGGGGCTGGGGATGGAATGAGATTGGAATGTTGATCAGTAGATGCCAGGAGATAGTTTCACTATGGTAGCAGTGGTGATTACGATGCATCAAGAGCGAGGGAAGGCGCACTTCACGATCAATTTCATTCATGGCAAGGACTAACTTCAGGACGGCGAATTCACCTAATGAGATAGGTACATTAACGCAGTGTTTGTATGTAAGCTGGTCGGCATCTGCAGTCCCGCTAACATACATACCTATGCTTGGCTGTCACCGTATCGTTGTAACTTGTAAAATGTTTTCCCTCTGTTCTTGTCTTGTCGCATTTGTCTGCTTTTTCTTATTTTTTCCTTCCCAGAGGATGGGGCAAGGGCGACCTATAAAGACTCCAAATACTCAGAAAACTTTTCTTTCCCCCATTGGTTGCTTTCAACTTACTCTGTCTCTTTGCTTTTTTTTCATATGCTTTTATTCAAAGATATCTTGTAGCAATTGTATTACTCATGAAATTAATATGCGGGATGATCGGCCTTCCCGAGCTGACCGCATTGTTGCTGTTTCCGGTCAGCACCTTGGGATAGCTTCCTCTTTCGACAGCCAAAAATTCTATGTTTAAAAAAGCATGTTTCTCCTTGGAACCCCGACGTGAAAAAGTATCAAACGATCCTAATCAATCGAGGAGATATATTCTTGACATCTATATCCCACTAATCTCACATCCCATCTCTAACCACCTCTTCTTCCACTATCCCACATACAATGACAACCAACCCATTTTACTGGATTAAGACCGAGGACTGGCACACAGCCGGCGAGCCATTCCGCATCATCCCCGAAGTTCCATCGGGGTACATGCCTACAGGTAGAACCGTCTCTGACCGGCGCAACCAGATCATCCAGACCGAGAACCACCCGTTGGATAGGCTCCGCAAATTTCTGAGTCATGAACCCCGAGGGCATGCTGACATGTACGGGGGATTTATCACCCCGCCAGACGATTTGGGTGCGCACTTCGGTGTATTGTTCTGGCATACGAGCGGATTCTCGACGGCATGCGGTCATGGTACCATTGCCCTAGGGTCCTGGGCTGTGTCGACAGGTCTTGTCGAGGCCCCAGAGAATGGAATTGTGGAGGTGGTGATTGATGTTCCGTCTGGTCGTGTGGCAGCGCATGTTACTATGAAAGATGGAGAGCCAGCACAGGCTTACTTTATGAATATCGCCAGCTTTCCGATAGAGAAGGGGCTATCTGTGAAGATCCCTTCTCGTAATGAGGAGATCCGTGTTGACTTGGCTTTTGCCGGTGCTGTTATGGCTTCAGTGAGTGCTGTTGAATTGGGACTTGAGATTAAGCCGGGCAATGCGGATGCATTCATCAAACTTCAGCGAGAGATAAAAGCAGCACTTGGTGATAGGGCAACTTATCTCGATTATGAGTTGTACGCAGTCATCTTTTTCGAGGACGAAAGGAACCATCCAGATTACCGGAAGACAATCGTCCAGAGGAATGTTACTGTCTATGGTGATGGTCAGATTGATCGGTCCCCTTGTGGCTCTGGCACTTGTGCGAGAATTGCTATTCTATCTTCGGATGGTCGGCTTCGAAAGAACCAGAAACTTTTACATCACTCCATTATCGGGTCGGCTTTTGAAGCTGAGATAGAGTCCTGGGGTGGTTCCCATGAGGGCTTTGATTCCTGTAATGTGCTTGTGAAGGGCCAGGCACATCTGATTGCGCAGTCGCGGTTTTTGATTGACGAGGAAGATCCTCTTTCTCCGGGATTTATCTTGCGTTAGTTGATGAATATTTGTTGTGAGAGGTTGCATGTGGGATATTTACTTCGAATTGTGTAAGATATGCTTGTCGTATACTTGTATTGCTAGCATGAATAGACTCTCGATTATACGTATGAGCAAACTCAATAAACCCCCCAGTTAAAATGTTTGACAGATGACAGAATACATTGCTCATATTACCAGATGATGTTTCCAGCCCAGTGCTACTAACTTCATTTTTCATCTGGCCCCCACGTTTAGTTCTGTTTCCACCTGCAGCTCGGGCCAAGAGTCGGATCCTGCAGGGCGGGGCTCATGTCAGCTAGACGCTCATCGCCGACTGCAACCTTCATTCTTGCTTACCTGCCCAGTGAGTAGCAGCTCGATTATTCAATATGAGCTACATCCTTCATAAGCTTCTAGACTAAGACCTCTTATCGTTGCAAGAGACCATGGATGCCCTGGAACAAGACGCACCTCTCTGCGCAAGGTGCCGCACCATTGACTTCGATGCTATCTTCCAACTCAGCAAAGATGTCCGAGATGCAAGACTAGAAGGTGTACCAATCAAATCACTTGGTAGTAACATTTCCGACCCAAACACGCCATGTCCGATGTGCGATCTCTTCGACAAAGTCAAGTTCGACCTCAACGTATCAGCTCGCCAATCAACATGGGATACCAGTCAATATCATTTACGTGCATTCAGCAGCATTTTGAAAGAAGTAGGTGTCACGGCAGAAATGACAACAGAACCTAAACAGCGAGATATTATTAAACAAATCCGCAGGGGAAATACGTATATGAGTGATGAGTCAAACAGTGTGTTTCTCGCGGTGTTTCCCGGAAGCGGGGATGATATCTTCATCACCAGTGAATTGAAAATCTTTGATATCTGCAGCCATCTAGAACAAAGCGTCATTATGCCGGTGAAGGGGTCTGATATTGCCAACTTGCGGACTCACGGGGTCCGGGTGTCACCGAGTCAGATCAATTACACTCGTCTGAAGGAGTGGATGGAGAGCTGCCAGAGTCATCACGGGCCTCGATGTACTTGCTCCCCTACTCCTCCGCCTTTTGTACTGAAGGTAATCGATTGCCAGACCAGGCAAATTGTTCCTCTTCAGCCAGGTTGGAAGTATTTCGCGCTAAGCTACGTATGGGGACCACTGTCCGCGGAGGAATCAACTGTCCGAATACAAAAGCCTGAGGCTATGCTTCCGGACAAAGTGCACGGTACTATCAAAGATGCCATCAGAGTCGTCAACAACCTCGGAGGTAGATATCTCTGGGTCGACAAATACTGCATTGACCAGGACAACGCACAAGAAAAGCACGATCAAATATCTCACATGGATCTTATCTATTCTGGTGCTTATGCTACTATAATTGCTGCTGGTTCTGATATCTCGATTTCTGGGTTACCTGGCGTCGGTGCAGTTCCACGACGGCGCCAACCACAAGCAACCTCACCGACAGCCTCTGGGACAGATTTGAGACTGGTATCTACTCTGCCTTCAATCCGACGTGCTTTAGCCACCAGTCCTTGGATTTCCCGTGGCTGGACTTTTCAAGAAGTAATCCTCTCGCGTCGATGTCTGTTCTTCACCGACTTTCAGGTTTACTATATGTGCGGAGTGACCACAAATTGCGAGTCGACTGTGCTTTCCTCTGTTCATTTGTCACTCATGACCACGGCCCAAACAGCCACAAATCTTGCCCGCGACCACATCCTCGATTCTTCTCGGTTCACCTATCAAATAACCCAGCACCCAGCATACTATTCCAGTAGGCCATATCGACCATGGACCTTCCGTACACACCTATCAGACTACTCAAGTCGAAGCCTCTCCTACAACTCCGATGCTATCAACGCCTTTCGAGGCATCCTCGCTCGCTCCGATCATCCAACCTTCTACGGTATTCCATTCTTGTTTGGCGGGGAGACTTCCTATACTCTAGCGCGCGATCCGAATTTCCGCTTCGTCTGCGCACTGTCCTGGGAACCTATTTACCAACCTCCTTGCAAAGATGATTGCAGTGCAAATGGCGAAGATGGTCACTTAATACAGAGAAAAGAATTCCCCAGCTGGTCCTGGGCCGGCTGGATAGGTCAGGTGTCATATCACTACTTTCTCTGGGACAGAAGATTCGGCTGCGCAGAGGAGGATCTTCTCCCGCAGGAACTGGATGGGCATCAGCCTGTTCGCATATGGATTTGCTTCAACCTTCATGAGAGTATTGACCATATCTCCACAGGGAATATCCCAATAGAGGAATTCTTCGTCAACCACAACAGCGCTCTTTGGGGGAATATGATGCCTGAAGTTTCGCCCTTTCTGCAGATTGAATGCACCGTTCTCCATTGCCTCCAGATAAAGCTCTTGAGTATTTCCTCTGGGACTGCTTCTGTTCCTGCATTCAGAATAGTTATAGGGGATGGGTATTCCCGTGCTCCGGTGCTGTTCTGCGGGCCACCTCATTGTTCAAACGAAGATGGGATGATAGAAGGGGAATATACGGGGCTGGTGCTCTTCGAGAGAAGACATAGCATTGCCCTATGCACACTGTGGGATCACATTGGGATTTTTGTTCTCCTTGTAAAGGAAATCCAGGGTGGGAGAAAGAGGCACTATGAGCGTGTGGGATCTGCATGGTTGGATCGAGCGGAGTTCGGAAAGTTGGGTGGTGATGGTAATATGAAGATGAGGAGAGAGACGATTTCATTATCTTAACCATGTTCAAGATATGTGCCTTGGTCATGAGTGGACCCTGTAAAGCGAAAGCAAAGCATAGACCGGACACGGGAGTCGAAGATTCCACCTACATTAAATGGCAGTTTTCTTTTCGGGGGCATTGGAGATGTCGTGAGGTTCCAGCGGGATGTAGCTGAGAACCCTATTGTCGCATGCAAGGAAGGAGCGCTCTACGCCAATCATCCCATATCTCTTATTCTGTAGGTAGACAGCCCTGCCTCGAGTATCGGAGACAACGTGCGAATCACACGTCTCTTCCAACATTAATGTCCGACAATCTCGAAACTTCACAGGTCGTGGCTTTTTCATAAATATTTCGGCCCTCTCGAATTTCCTTTCCACTAAGTGTTGACATCCACCACCAACACTTAGACTATGCGATTGGCATTCGGTATGATTGGGTGACAGCGTGAGCCATAGCGCCGAGGCGGGGAGGCGAGTACAGAGTACAAGGCTGCGATGTGCTCTTCTAGCACTCGCAGTGGTTGATTGGCCGACACTCTAGGCGTACGCGCCCGTGTGCAAGGGGTCGATATGAGCGAGGCCGATGCCAAATAACCGCTTCGGGTGTCGTTTTAAAACTTTTATTAGCTTGATCAGGTCTTGCGTTTCACGGTAGATGGATAACTTCCCACACTCTTTGTGACCAAGGTGCACGACCAACATCAGCTATGCCTCTCAGGTTTGATCCTAGCGTTTACACTGTGGGCTGGGTCTGCGCTATCAAAGACGAGGTCACTGCTTCGCGAGCCTTTCTTGATGAGGAACATGAACAGCCTCGTAGACGGCAGAATGATAATAATGTTTATATCGTTGGCCGAATGGGAGAACACAAAGTGGTCATCGCATTCCCTGGAGCGGGCTCGTACGGTGCCGATGCCATTGCCCATACTGTGGCTAACATGGTTCGGACATTTCGAAATATCCGATTCGGTCTGATGGTCGGGATAGGCGGAGCGGCACCTTCAGCACCCGATCCTAAGGACCCATTGAATGACATTCGGTTAGGAGATGTTGTTGTTAGTGAGCCGAAGGGAAACTACAGTAAGCTCCTTTGTGGTCCCCATGTACCTGTTTTTGGCTTTTTGTTTTCTTTCTTAGCTTCTCACGATAATGAAGGCGGAGTATTGCAGTACGACAAAGGCCGCTATAAGGATAATGGTTTCGAAATCAGATCGCACATGAATAAACCACCGAAGCTTCTACTGGCTGCGATGAAGCTGCTGCAGTCTTATCATGACATTGGCCGGGGAAAGATGACAGCCTTCATTGATGACATTAGACACAAGTCCAGCCAATTACTATCATGGGGTTTTCGCTTCCCAGGCCGCGAGCTCGATCGACTATACAAGCCAGATCTCCCGCATAGTGAGGGAAAAGATTACAGGGACTATGGGCATGAAGGGCTGGAAAAGCGCCTTGATCGTGAAACAGATGAACCTGTCGTTCACTATGGTATTATCGGCTCGGCCAATGCTACGATGAGATCTGTCGTGTACCGGAATTATCTGAGAGACGCTTGGGGCGTGTGCTGCTTTGAAACAGAGGCCGCGGGGCTTATGAATGACCTTCCGTGTGTCGTCATCAGAGGAATTGCCAATTACTCCGACGGCCATAAGTACGATAATTGGCAGCGATATGCAGCAGTCACGGCAGCCGCGTATGCCAAAGATCTTCTACGAGTCGTGCCAGCTGAGGAGCCTAGCAGCAGCGAAGACTGTATGTTAAGGTAGACTCATCGTGGGAAAACTCTAAGCCAACACTGGGCAGTTTCGTGGGAATTGAGAGAAGTAGAAAAACGAGTCGCCAAACTTGATGATATGGTTACCCACAAACATAATGAAACAACACTCGGGTAGCTCAATGATTTTCCCTACGATATCGATAAAACCTTTATCTTTGAGGAGATTCACCCAGGCACCGGCCAATGTTTATTGAACTCGGACAAATTCCAGTCCTGGTACCAGGCCAAAGGGCAAATGATGCAGGGTCTGCAGACTCTTTATGGTCGACATAGTACCAGGGGCACGCAACCGTCAACACGCGAGATGGTCGAACTTCTCTGTTCTATGAGTAGTGATAGGCAGGTATACGTTGTTATCGACGCGCTGGATGAGATGCAAGAGGACCGACGGAATTCCTATTGGAGCTTTTTCGGATTCAGGATGCTACTGGCCTAAATATACTCGCAACTTCACTTTTCGCCCTGAACTCGATAAGATCTTCAGGGAAAGGGATGGCTGTTCTTCTATGGAGATACGTGCCACGGATGAAGATGTTCGAAGCTATATCCAAGGGAATATCACTTCCCTACCATCCTTTGTTACGCAGGATCAAGCAATGATGGACAGAATTCTAGAAGATATTCCCCGGGCTGCTAGCGGAATGTAAGTACCATTGGTCAGTGAATGGATTGGTGTCTCCCTGATTTATGGCTGTAGCTACAGTAGAAGCACTGATTGCGTTCGTTCTCTTCTGGAATGTAGCGCTCAGCTCGACATTCAGGATGACTGGGGAAGAACTGCTTTGATGTGTGCAGCTCAATCTTGCTACGACGAGATGGTCATTATCCTGTTGAAAAGCGGTGCTGACTGGAGGGTGCGCGATAACGAGGGACGGACGGCCTTGTTTTATGCACACACAAAGTGCGACTCGTTTCTTGAACGCCACGACAAACGTGACAGAATAATCCAGGCGTTGCTGCCTTATGAAAACTTCCTTGATGGGACGGAAGCGGAAAGGAGGCAGCTCAGTCAGATGATGACACATCCTGCGAAGACCAGGTTTTTCCCGGAAATGAATTAACAAATTACTCACTCTAGACTCGACAATTGAGATTAAGGATTGCTGTTTATCAGGGCTGAAGCATAGTACCTAGCGATGTAATGAGGAAGCGCTATTTGTGATGGGCAATAATTTCGCTCAACATAAGTCCCAGTCGCTATTGAAACCCAATTCCTTCGACTGTCCCTTTAACCTTAACAACAGTCAAGGGGTACTCATCCCCATCAGACTCCACACCCATATCTGGTCTCTTAGACAGTCTGTCTCTGCTAGAATCACCTGATAACCCACCATTCCCTGGTTTAGGATAGCTTGAATTCCCCTGTCCTTGAGAGGACTGCTTTCTGCTGAACACTCGGGGAAACAGAGCCCTAGCCAGCGGACGCAGGGTTGGGAGACAAGCAGAGATAATCCCCGAAGATACTTCAATAACGCACCATGCGTTCGATCGGCCCAAAGTATCTGCGAGTCATCAGCACACTACTTAGAGCTAGCAAGGAATAGACGGGCCAATGTACATGTTAAGTCATCAAAGTCGACATCTACTAGCGTGATGATGCGATATATGCTCGTGAAAACCACACTATCCACAAATTGTCAGTGCCAGATACCATGCACATTCAATAACAACAAGACGAAGAAGAATTAAGTGAAGAAAAAGAAACCACTTACAAGCTCCCCAAAGAAATCATTCCTACCGCACTAATTCTAACCCCCCACCCAGCCTGCACTTTCCATACTCTGCTGATCAAAAGCACCAGAATGACCACATCAGTGATAGCATTCACGACATCATTCGCAATGAATGTATCCTTTAGATTAATGCACCGTCCCGGGTGGGATTTATCCCATGCCCGAGCGACAGGAATACATTGGAAGATGGAGGCAATAATCAGGGATACGGCTCTGATGATTGTGATCGCTCCCAGGACGTACACGGCTATGCGTGTGGGCTGATGGATATGGAAGATCCGGTGATACATTGCTAAGATGGAGGTTTTGGTGAGAATTAGGGAGGTGCAATAGAATACTTCTGCGGGGAGAAGGAGCTGCTATGGTATCAGAATGGCTTCTTGATAAGGGAGTTTGAAGGGTTAGGGCTTACTTTGTTGATAGTTACGACGTCATCTGAGGGAATAGTGGTTTGGTGTAGGCCAAGGCCGTATTTTACCACTGTTGGGTTCTAGTATTATTCCAAGATAAAGCATTAAGGTAAAAACTGTGAAGAGGTAACCTACTCGCTAAGTCGAGTACAAAAATGACGAATAAGTTGAACTACATTTCATCGTTAATTTGGACTCTGCGTAGGGTGGAGCATTAACATACCAACGCAGCCACAATCAGCGCATCCTCCAACCCCAGAGGTACTTTTCCAAAATGCCTCGAGAGAAATCGCAATCCCACGAAGAAAATGCCCAACACTGTAATAGATATTGAAGCATCTCGGTTGTAGCGCTGCCAGCTGCCTGAATCGGCCATGGTCGCTAGCTGGTTCTTATGAAAGAGCGTACTACGAAGGTCGGAAGGACTGATAATAAATGTCTAACGTTCGTCACGTTATATTTGGAATGTTCGCGGGGATGTGAGGACATTTTGGGGGCCAAGAGGTCGTATGTTGTAAGCCCCAGTCTGCCTTGTATGAGCAGAGCTGCCGCTGAAGTGATGCAGGGGGCAGCGTTAATGCTTGACCCTATTTAACTCAATGCCTGAATTTTTACACTCCAGGCTTGTTAAGGTAAGGTCTTCCAAGGTGCAGTCTTATGAGCGACTACCCTGAATGGATAATGCGTGGTTTTTGGCCCCATGTGGCTTACGCAGTGAGATTTAAGTTGTTTGGAGGACTGCAGAATGGAATTTGGGTGAGTGCACGGATATTTGCAGTCTGGAACACGCCGATCATCAGTCAAGAGGGATCATGGTTCGCTCATCTGGAATGATTGAAAGTATAGTAGAATAAGAGCCATCCCAAGCACTGACTAAAAGCCCAGTGAATCATAAAGATGACCCTTAGCCATCAACCCCGCATCCTCTACCACCGCATCGTTCCTTCAAGGCATAAGATCATACTGCTTACCCGTCGTGGTAGCAGAGAAATAGCTCGGTCGGTTTTTCACATAGCACTCGATCGTGGGCTTAAACAATTTCAGGCTGGTAATATCATCATCAATACGCATGTCGCCCGATCATGAAGAGGAAGAATAGTCATCTCACTTACCCATTCTCGATCAGAGCTGTTCTTACAACTATCTCCTCCTTACCATTAGTCGCCGGTATGGTGTATATAGTGCACCCACAGCCGCTGCAGAAACATTTGACTTTCTGGCGTCCACTTAGGGTATTATTGACGATGTAGCGTTTGGCAAGCCCCTCTGGATCATGAAGGGTAACATCAGGTGTGAAGTATGTTGCGGTCTTCAGAATAAATATGTTACCAGTATAAATCATGCGATGCTAGATATTTCCAGGAGAACGGAGGGAAAGAGTCTGTACGCACGATCTGACAAGGCCCACCTGCCCCGAGAGCACAATCACCGCAATAGCAGCAGAAAACCGCATTTGGAATGCCTTTCACTGTGAAACCGACTCCCTTGCATAGGCATCTACCAGTGTATGTCAGATATTGTGTGCTTTCAGCGATGGGCATAGTGTCGGACATGGTTCTGTCAGAAAGGCAGTCAATGTCCTGGTCTACTTCACATTTAACACAAACACTTCCCATATTAATGGTCAAAATGCACATATTCAGCCTACATCAGTTATAATATCACCGCCTTTACTATCGGCTGGGTACAGAGAATACCGGGTCTCGGTAGCCCTCGGATATCTGATAGTGAGTGATCTATCAGAAATCTGGGTCGGCGATCATTCGGCTTGGACCGTGAGCCGTAGAAGGATGCCCTATGACTATCGGATATCGAAGGTCCAGGGTCGGATGTAGTATCATTATCCCTGTTCATCCAAGTTGTAAGTGATATTAATATGACGCGTCATCAGAGAATCCGAGGTCATAAGAGACTCTATCCTTGAGCAGCGTCAATCATCCCGAAGCCGAAGCTCCCGAGAATCCGACAGTATGAGATATAAACCTACTACTATAGGAGCTCACTTAAACCCAACACTCTACCAACAAACAGTCAAATAACAAAATCCATTTTACTACACATCATCAAAATGGCCGACCTCAAGATCTCTAAAATCGACGTCTTCCAAGTCGACCTCCCCTACTCCCACGGGACCTACCATCTCTCCGGCAACCGCGCCATCACCCGCTTCGACGCCACCTTCGTCCGCATCACCACCAACACCGGCCTCGAAGGCTGGGGCGAAAGCACCCCCTTCGACAACTACATCGCCTCCCACGCCGGTGGTGTTCGCGCCGCCATTGCAGAAATAGCCCCTAAGCTCATCGGTCTAGACCCCCGCCGAGTCGACCGCCTCAACGACGCCATGGACGCTGCCCTGCTAGGTAACGAGCCCGCAAAATCCGCCATCGACATTGCCTGCTGGGACATCTTTGGCAAGTCTGTCGGGCTGCCGGTGTGTGAGTTGCTCGGCGGACGGACAGAGACGAAGCTCCCCGTTCTAGAGTCGATCCCCGTTGCGGACCCCGAGGGGACGCGCAAGCATGTTTCTGATGCCAGGGCAATGGGATTCACGGGTTTCTCGGTGAAGATTGGCTCGGACCCTGTGGCTAATGCTGCGAGGGTAGAAGCTGCTCTGGCTGATAAGGAACCGGGGGAGTTCTTTCTAATTGATGCTAATGGCGGAATGACTGTTGATACTGCGCTGCGGATGTTCAGGTTACTTCCTAGGGGATCGGATTTCGTTCTCGAAGCGCCATGCGCTACGTACAGGGAGAGCGTATCACTTCGACGTCGGATTGACGTGCCGATTATCTTTGATGAGTTGGCGAATAATGAGAGCTCGATTGTGCAGTTCGTTGCGGATGATGCTGTTGACGGGATCGGACTCAAGATTTCCAAGACGGGTGGGTTGACGAGAGGTCGCAGGGTTAGGGATATTTGTCTTGCGGCGGGGTATACTATGTCTGTTCAGGACACGAGTGGCTCGGACGTGGCGTTTGCGGCCATTGTGCATCTGGGACAGACTATTCCGGAGCAATACTTGAGATGTATTTTGGAGTGTAGGGCTATGTGTGTTGGGAAGACGGCGGATGGGCCTTTTGATGTTCATGAGGGAGTGCTTACGGCGCCGACTTGTCCGGGACTGGGGGTTACGCCGAGGATGGAGGTGTTGGGGGAGCCTGTTGCTACTTTTGCTTGAGGTTAATCTCTATCGTTGAGTGGATTGGGTATGTTTCCTCGGGTATATCGGGTAGCAGGATGTTACGTGGGTTAACGTTGCTACGTGAGACTATGGCGTATGGCTCTTGATTTTGATTTTTCATGGCACTTCTAGTGAAGGAAGATGCACTGGGTCCCTCAAAATCCCTTGCTGCATACAACAGGGGAACTACACATGAGGGACCTCTTCGGGTACCTTCCGAGACAGCGTCGGGTTCCTCACCCGATATTGGACCTAGGCCGTCATGCTCTACAGGTTCTAAAGGATTACCGCCACCTGAAATTGAACTATCACTTCGGTTCATGTATGTAATGTGCATGAGTGTCATAATAGAGCTCCCGCTGTGTGCAGGTTGAGAGGTCTATTCTTTCTTCTTTATATATACTGAAGGCCTTTGGCCAGCCTTCATACTTAAAATCATATACAAGGAAGACCACCATATCACTCTCAGGAACATTACTACTTACACCAGAATTTATTTCCACCTACCCAACTCACGACCAACAATTGACCAATCCACGACTAACTCGCGACGGACCCATTCTTCCACCCACACGTTCATCCATTCCGGCTTCACTGCATCCACAGCCCGCAACTTTTCACTGACCTGTCCCGTCAGCCTTGTATCCAGCACATTCAATTGCTCAGTCTGCGACATAGTCCCTTCGAAGAATTCCAGCAACTTTGCGGCTGGATTCTTGGCCAATCGTTTCTGCAGCTCTTCGTCACTCATCTTCTCGCCGGTACCACCAGCCATCTCCAGATCTTGCCGGACGCGCTGCACCCACTTGGTAAAGGGGACAGTCTTGATATTCTTTCTTGAAACCTTGAAGATAGCTTCGGCGACTACTGGACGAATGACCTCCCAGTCTACCGGATGCAAGTTCACTGGGTGATACACCTGGACAGATCCGGGTTCCCCGCGTCGACAAGCGATTGCCAAGCCCACTAGGACTTCAGCAAGCAGATCAACCGGTACCCAGTCGATGCGATTGAGGGCCGATCCGAGCGTATCAGGCAAAACGCCCAGGTGATAAGAGCTGAGGACGAGGCTTGGAAACCATTCGGTCTTTTTCCATACTCCCTTTGAGCGGACCGGCCCTGCTATCTGACCGACACGTGCGAACGAGGCGTGCAGTCGGCCCTGGCGAGCCGCTTGCGCTAGTAACTGTTCTGCAAGGTACTTGCTATCTGCGTAGCCGTTGGGTCCCGGGGTTGTAGTTGTGATCACTTCTTCTGGTGTCAGGCCGGTCTTTGTGTGGTGGCCCATAGTGGAGCTAATGGATGATAGGAAGAAGAGATGAGGTGACTGGTGTGATTGGGCAGCGAAGTTGATCAAGTTTATCACACCGGTGAGGTTAGGTTTGAAGGATGACAGGCCGAGGTTGAAATTGACTGCCCAGGCGTTGTGGATGATCAAAGTGGCAATGTTTCGCAAGGTTTTAAAGACATCAGGTCCCAGGCCTAGATCCGGCTGGGTAAGGTCCGCAGTCCAGAAGCTCGCTCGAGACAGGTCGGTTTTCAATCCGTTAGGTTTGACGCGGTGGCTTTCCCCTGCGTAAGGTGTGCGGTTCAGACAATGCACGTAGGCAACGGAAGGGGACTGTAGGAGAGCGTTGAGAAGATAGCTTCCCAGATTACCTGTCGAGCCGGTCAAAATGACCACATGGGACTTGGGCGCTTATAACTGGCTACTGAGTTCCTGTAGTAGTTCTTCCCGCTGCTGCAGCTGGGCTTCTTTTCGCTTCTCAGCAGAAGCCTCCTCATGTTGCTGCAAGTGAAGCACTGCCTGGGTGAGTTCATCCACAGAGGGATGGAGATAAATTAGGTTTGGAGTGAGCGTCGGGAGATCAAGACCCTTCTTGAAAGCCCGAGTGGCGGTGATAGCCTGCAGGGAGTCAAGGCCCAGCTCGAAGAAATTTTGGTTATCTGTGAGGTCCCACCCAGTGACGTGATTGATTGTTCCTCTAATGTAATCCGAAAGAACTTTCGGATCATCCACCTGGCCAGGACCAGCAGGTTCGCCGTTACTGGCTGTCTGCGATAGTCTGTCCGCATCGGCATACAGGGCATCCAATTCCGACGTGTACAGTTCGAGCGAGGCAGCTCGCTGAATTGTTCCCTTTCCGGCACGAAGCATGGGCTTGTCTGGCTTTGTGAACAGAATGTGGGTTTTGGCTACGCGTGCATGAGCTGGACAAACTGCGTTGGCCTGTTCGATACTTGGCCAGAGTTTCTCAATCATCGCGGCGCGCTCAGGTGCACTGAGTTTCTTGCCTCCAATTTCAACTAATAGAGATGCTTGAAAGCGACGTGCCCCAGCCACTAGAACTGCGGTAACTTCTGGATTGGATGCAGCGATGTGTTGTTCCATAGACACAGGATTTGTTTTCTCGCCGTTCAGGAAAACAATCACGTCATCTGCACGAGCAGCCCAGCGCCACAGGTCCGGCTTACTAGGGTCCGAGTGCCGCACGAAGAGGTCTTTGGTGTGATATTCCTGTTGATCCGGGAAAATCGTGAAGGTGAGCTGGTGCTTTTCAGAACGTGGGCTTCGGACAATCACAAGTTCGAAGTACTGATCGGCGACGTGACGGAGTTCTGCTCCCATCCGGGGGTTGATATGAAGATATCTCCAGTCTGTGCGAGGATCTCGATTTATTTTGGAATGAATAGTGCTGATCATGCCAACCTCAGAAGCACCGTAAAGATTCATGAGTTTAATTTTGGATGCCACGGCGTCCCCAATCGGCTGGGGAAGATCTCCACCACAGTAAACCAAGCGTTCAAGGTGCTTGCTGCAGTAGTCCAGAAGCTCCAGGCTCTGGGAGAATTCTTGAATGATGGAAGGGACACCCAAGAGAATATCAATCTGAGTCTTCTTTCTTGCCTCTACAAGGGAGGCGGCGGTAGGTAGACCGCCAGATGCCGGAAAGATGATCGTAGTGCCGACTGGAATGGTAATGAAAAGCGAATATGCCAGACCAGCAGCCTATGACGTTATTAGCTTGTATATCCTTTGCAGATATGCAACGAAGACCTACATGAAATGGTGGCGGAACGAGGAATATCCGCTTGCTGAACAACCAGCTATCCTGGCTCTCATGACCCTCTGGGGGATTTAGGACCGTCGTATGCAT